GCAATGAAACAGCTTTCAGAAAGCTCAAATTATTGAGGCTGCTTCAATTTAAATTAAATTACAAATCTGCATCATGTGCTAGTCTTCTTCGTACTAAATACTGGTTCCCAACGTTCACTGACTTTTAACTTGGTTCTAACGAGTTACACTCACTATATTAAGAGATCATGAAGAGAGCTTTCTCCCATCTGTTGTAATATAGGGTCTTATCAGCAATAGTAATGGGAACTGTCTAAGGCTTCAAGAATCCATCAGTAACTAAGATAAAAATCTATTTAAAAACGGCTGCATTTAGGAAGCATCAGCAATCTGAATCACTGAAATACAATATAATGCAGCATAGCATGGATTTACTCTATTTGCTCTTAGATTTACTCTGAGGAATTGCTTCTATAGAAGTTATATCGTAATTATTTCTTTTCTTCTCACTTCACATTTACCAAGGAACACAGTAATAACTGTAATAAGTCAGAAATAATTTCACCAGACTAAGCCTTTTATTAGACTTAGCTTTATACCAATAAGAGAACAGGTGCACAGGCAACACAACCCTGCTTCAAGTGCTACAGTATAACTCTATTCCAAATGAATAGGAGCCAGAGTCCCTTCTGGTGCATTTTTCTGTCTTTGACAACGGTAGTAGATACAAAATCAATCCTGAACATTCTTTTATTTTTTAGTCCCATTAAACAACTTAATAAATGAAAATGTCCTCATGAAGTAACACAAAGACCAGGAACAACAAAAAGAATCCTTCTGGCTAGGTTATTTCTGTGTGCACCCGGTTTGTTGTCTCCTATTATGAAGTGGATCAATACAAGACAACAACAGTTGCAGATCTGTACAGTACACCTCCAGCTTTGCAGAACTGCTGCCACCCTCTCCAAAGAGAATAAAAGGGATGGTAATTCAGTACTGCTAAAGGTGCCATGTCAACAGTCCTGGTAAAGAAGATTTTGAAGGGCAAGTAAAACAGCACTGCTGGCTGGGAAAGGAGTTTCACCTTATCTGTGAACTGCACTGTTGGAGCACCTCTGCTGGAGGGAGATGCTTATTATTCTCCAGGCTCGTGAATTTTATGGTCTCTCTACTGGGACTGATAAGGACACACACAGCTGGAGGGCATCTTGGAGAAGCCCTCTGGGGCACTCTGCAAACAGAGATCTGCTACACTGTCTGGAAAGTTGTGTTAATGAGCTTGGCACGGCTGAATCAAAACTGAAAACTAAAAACCCAACCAATGGGGCCAGTGATAATTACAAGTTTGGTTTACTTGCATCTACAGATGATGGCAACAAAGTTAATTAGTTGTTCATTTTAGTGACAGCTTATGTATTACACACCCTTTTGTCACAGGCTCTCTCCTGCTTCTCTCCTTCCTGCAACTCCTGCATCAAATAGGACAACTAGTGCCAAATAGCAGTTTTTCTGCAGACGGTGCAGAAAAGGATTTATGTTGGTTTACCCTAATATTGGTCCTCCAAGCTGGGCTGGAGCCCTACAGACAGAGCAGTCAGGGATGGGGGAAGACACAGCAGTCCTAGGCTTCTGCTTTACATGAACAGAGCAGTTCAGTCCCCCAAAGTTATCAAATGGGCTTCTATCTTTAAGAAGCATAAAAGGCACCTCAGTCTAAAGAAGGAATGTGATACAATTTTGAAATCCTCTCTTCCTCTGGACTTTCTGACTCCTGAGGACAAATAGGCCCTTATCTAAAATCCAAAAAGGGATTCATATGCAATCTGCACCTGCTTTACATCCCAAAGCTTGGCAAGAGGCTATGAAAGCCTGTCTAGAGCTGTTGTGAGTAGCCTTCATTCCAATGGAGATGAAAAATAAACACTCAGAAATAAATTTGTAAAAAAAAAAAACCCAAACAAACAAAAAGCACAAACAAGAAAAAAATCCACCCCCATACAAAACTTTAGGAGTTTTTGATTTGTGATATACGATGAAAAACAGTTGCAACTGCCCTCCCACACTAGCAAACAAAAAACCTGCATACTTGGTTGTGAAGGCAGGGCAGTGAGCTCAGTTTCAGAGCTACAAACTGCTCTGAAGTGGCAGAAAACGAAGTCACCCACTGGCTTGGCAAGGCTTTTGTTTGTTTGTTTCTTGAAAGCAAATGTACAGGACATGCAGCTCACAGCGACCTCAGGCTGCCTCCCTTTGGATCCTGAGACGATGACCCCTCAACACTTTTGCAGTTATGGATGTAATTTTATGAGGGTATGAAATGCAAGTTTCCATTTCCTGGGACACTAACTTAAGAGGAGGAGCTGGGAAAAAGAAACTTTTTTTTTTTTAAATGAGATTACTATCAATGCCAGTGCTATTAGTCATAAACACATGTTAAAAAACAACAGCAACAGTTATGATTGTCTTTTAAAAACAAACAACATCTTCGCACTTCAGATATTATTTTGTAGGTGGTGGTTCCCATGTTGTAGGCAGAAGGGGCTTGATAGGATGGAGGCATCTCCAGACCCTCTGCCTTCATTCTCAGACTCTTCTGAGGCTTAGACTCCAGCAGCTTTTTCTCCCTGAAACGTTGTCTTTGGGCAAAAGCAGACCACAATTCTCCTAAAAACATCATGGCCCAACCTCTCAAGTCCTTCTAACTAGCAGTAAGTTTCATGAAGATAAAAGGATAAGCTGAACAAAAGAAAAACAAACAAAACAAACAAGCAGACAAGCTAGTCTCCTTATCTCTCTTAAATCCCCAAGATTTGAGATCCCAGAGCAAGCAAACTTAGTAGAGGTAAACAAAAGCAGAGAAAAATCCTGTCTTTCCTCAATGTCCTTCATTTGCCATTATGCTGCAGTTTGCTTTTTCATTTGTGTGTAACAAAACATTCTCAGAATGATCAAGTATGATCACAATATTCCATTAAAATCTGCCTAGTAACAATTTGGCCATAAGACTGAAAAAACAAAAAAACCCAGAAAAACAGAAAAAAATGCCAACAAAACCATGACAACCTTGCCCAAGGACTTCTAATTCAAAACAGAAATTTTAGTTTCAGCGACTGATATTTTCAACTACTTTGTGAGGTTAGCAGGAGAAGACTATCTAACAGAATGCTTTTAAAATACAGAGAAACATCTTTGCTTCATGGTCTCTATAAAATGAATGTAGGGGATTTTAGTTCAGTTTCCAAAGTCTTGCTGTACGAATCACACAAATGGCACTGAAAGTCAACCTATTTGACAAGTAAAGGGCTTGAAGATAGAAGTATCTTTGCACCTTTCAAAAATTATTCATTTTAGATTAACAAGATGCCCTTTGGCAAAGCAGTCTGTGCGGACGCGAGCCCTATTTCTAGGTATTTCTTGGTTTCCTCCCTCTTGTGTGGAAATTATAGGCAATTATATAAGTCTCCTTCACCCCAGTTGACCCTAGTTTCGTTTTGGTCTGCAAAAAGTGTTGATTTCTACTCTAACACGAAACCTCATTTCTGCACATGATGTGATTTTTCCTTGAAGGCACACAGTTTCACAGCTTGCTTTAAATGCGAGTGGGATAAAAACTAACAGCGAAAGCAGAAATCTTCAAAGGTACTTAGAACTATGGAATATAGAACTCATACAGAACTTGAAGCACCAGGAAGATGCTTATAATCTTAGCGGAAGGGTAGAGAGATGCAACTGCAAAGACAGCTAAGGAAAACTATTTCAGAGACAAGATGCCAAGTCACTCCATTAGGGAGGAAGAACTGAGTCATGTTCTTTCTCAGGGATGTGTGCAGATTTCACTAACTTCAACACAAGAACAAACCCCAGCCTGAGAGCAACACAGGATCCCTTGAAGCTCTGACCAAGGTGAATGAGAGTTTCCACGCTCGTATGCTAAGGGTACCTTAGCCAAAGGCCTTAACAGAGAGAAGTTCAGATTACAAACACTAAGGAGGAACAGATTAAGATGGCTTTTACTCAGATAAACAACCAGTTCAGAGGAGTCAGAATTCTTCCCTATTTCTTCCATAATTCTGATATATCAGAATAAAGAGTCCCTGTATTCTCCCATCTAACTCAAGATGGGCTTCTTCCTTTTTTTTTTTTAATACAGACAATAAAATCTTTCTTTACCACAAAATATTTTAAACATCTCATAAAATGACATAGCATTCCTCTCTTCATTTAGGGAGGGGATGCCAACTGTCTGCTACTTTTAGCAGGAAATTCCACTGACAATAAAATAAATAAATCAATCAATGGGCTCAAAGGCCTATGATTCAATTATATGGGCTACAAAGAGCTGGGATTTGACAGCCGAATGTGTTCATCTGTAAGATTTATCTGTGAACTTCAATTAGAGAAAGGGAATAAACTACTCAGTGAAAATGAAGACATTTGGAAAGAAAAAATAATTAATTCAGTATGGCATGACACAAAGGCGGTCTGGTGTCCATAAAACAAGAGAAGCTACACAGCTCAAAAGTAAAAAGGAGGGAGGAAAGCAGCCTTGGTGTTTATGGGTCTGGCAAAAGTTGCAAACTCTCTGGGCTGAGAGTTAGCAAACGCAGAGCTGGAACTGTTTGAAAACAGCAGGCAGCTCGTACTTGGTCAGACCCTCAGCTAAGATGCATCAACAAGCTCTAGGAAGGCCTGAGAAACTCTGCTGATTTACAGTAACTTAGAACTGAAATGCAACAGTTCCCTCTAAGCAATATGAAAAGCCTTTACTGTGTGTTTTGGAATACAACTATTTTTGCCTGTATGGCTTGTGTTTCAAAATTTCACTGACAAAGGGCCGGGTTAAAAAAACTGTGATTAAGTATACAGTTAAAGCGGCTCTTTGCCCACAACACCAGATCCTGACGATTTTAAATCCATGTTAAGGATTTTCTGCTAACAGAACACAGCAGCACAAGGTCAAATGGTGCAGAAGCTGCCATTAAGGAAATCATCATTGTAAAACAGGTTACTTTCAGATCACAGTAAAAACTGTAGAATATTAAATGATGCTGCAATGATGTATCAGAAGGACAGATACTTACATTACAATTGGAAGACCCATCAAATGCTGAATAAGAACCATCAGGCCAATCTGTAACATCGACAGTACTTGATTGCCGGTGCTGGGCTTCGTATTCCTTTAGCTGAAATTTGAACAGACAGCAAATGTTTTCCAGTGAGAAGAAACTATCAATCTTCATAAAAGAGCAAGAACCCTTTCAGGCTTTCTTCCCTGCCCCCCCCCCCATTTCATTGTGGAACTGGGAAACTCAGAGTTTTTGCACTGCATTTCTCGCTTATTTTTAAACTGAAATTCATGTGTTTTGGATTTCATGATGAGATAGAACTTTTTTTTTAATGAAGTGCTCTATAACCACTGAATTTTGATGAACTGTCACTCACAAGATGTGTTACACATCTTCATCTCAGAAGCACGTTACAAGCTAAATCACAATAACCTACCTTCACAGAGAAAATTATCTGCAGTGAGAGACTAGAACTATTATAATCATAAAACTAAACACTATCTTTCTCACTTTCCAATAAAAGGCTTAAAACAAAAAACCTAATTCCACTGGAGTGAAATTTCCCAGAGGACCAGAAAAGAACTAACAATATCACAGAAATAAAAGTTGCTGCTAGTAATTCAGACCACTAGAGGGAATCAATATCAGCACATATATTGAGCTATATAGATTAGGCGCAACCCTCTTCCCTCAAAACTTTCAATAGCAGAGAAGTCAAAGAATTCTCAGTATTGCCTCTTGGTAATTTTAAATTTTGGGATTTTTGATTTTCATTATATCATACTCAGCAAAGGGTTATTTTCTTTGGACAACAGAACTTCATCTTCAATGACAATCTATTTCAAGATGTAATGTGAAAGAGTATTTGTCTGCATACCCAATCAGGATCAGACTCATGTTTTCTGAAACTCAGGTGCCTTTACAGAATACTCCATGTATCATCACAGTATTTTGCACATGGAAACAAAATCAAGAGTGGTAGGAAAATTTTAACAGTGATCTTTGAGCTCCTGAACAATTAAAATCCCAGCCTTATTGCTGCACAGACACAACCCTTCATAGTTATTTTCCCTGGGGTTTGTTAACATTCAGATTTTGTAGAGAAACAGTTGTGTCAGCCACTGTATTTATCAAAAACTACATCTGTTTTCATTTTACTGTCAAATGCCAAAAATGGCAGAATATGTTTTCTTGGAGCTTAATAATACAAAACACCACCTTTTTAGCTAAAAAAAAATCAAGTAAAATAAATCTCAAGTTAATATTTTATAAAGTTTTAATGAGTAAAAATGGAAGCCTTTGATCAAACCTAAATAGCACAAAAATGGTGAGAAAAAAAATGAAGAAAATAAGACAACCCCAGAAACACTTGAAGCATTTATTTTACCATTAAAGAAAAAAAATGAACATGTACGTAAAATAAGAGATACTACAGGTGGGATTCCTCTGCAATGTAAATGTTGACACTTGAGCACCTAATTTATATTATCTAGCGAGACAGGATAATCAAGAATGTTTTCCTCCCTTCCCTTACCCTTTCTGAGCAACTGCAAGCTCCAAACTGCCATTTCCCACATCCTAAAGCACCTTTCTCAAGGAAAGTAGAAAGTGCACGTATCCTACCCTAGCAAGTGCTTCCTCAATGGTGATCATCTTCTCTTTGACCATCATCATCAGCTGGATCCGCTCCTCATCACTCATCGTGATCTCACTGGCCACATAACCGACATCCTCTCCTGGAGGAAAAAGGCAGGAGGTAACAAGCGTGTGTTAGAGGTCATGCACACAGAGAGGAGCACGTTTTGATCAGGCATCATTCAGCGCCCTGGAATCTGGTTACTACTACGGATCTGGCTGGCCAGAGCAGAGCTTTCCCAGAGCAGTCTCCTAGTACAACTGGAACGGTGTAGCTGAACACAACAGTGATAAATTTTTTAATGAGCCAATCAATTTACAGCCACAAAACTAAATCTACTTTGACACTGCAATGAAGAGAGCACAGCAAAGAGGAACAGAACGTGGCCCAAATCATCAGGTGGCTATGCGCCCTGAAGTCACCTGAGGCAATAACCAAATGAGAAGAGAAAGTGCTTCTGAACTTCTAGCCCTGAACTAACTCGTAGCTGTGAGGAACACTGTGACCTGCCGCTGCAGCAGCTGCGGTGCCTCGGCTGGAGCACCGTGCCAAGCCCTCCCGGCTGCACACAGGCCACATGGCTCCATCTGTTCATCCCCTATGGAAGCAGCAGCTGAGCTGACACGAGGTGCTGGGTGTGCCTGGGCTCCCAGATTCAGGACCTGCCCTCTTGGGCTGAGCTTGGCATGTCAACATGGACAGCTAGAACTGGTCTGGAGAGCAGACAAGCACTTAACTGACTGTGTAAATGTGCCCCCTTTCAACCTCTAAATGAGTTACTGTCAATTATCACAACTTGAACACAGCCACAGTGACATAGGAAAGCATCTGTTTGCAACATAAGGATCTAACGGATACACATGGGGAAACAAGAATTTTCTTCGTGAAGAAAAATACTCCAAGTAATGCACAGCTGTATCTTCGGGAAGCACTAGAGAAAGAGGCTAGACAACTTAAGTGGAATGGATTCTCCGGTTCACTCTTCATCAGATACACTTTTATTACTCCTCCTTGTAGTGATTTCTCCTGCAATAGGAGAAAGGCTGGGTTCATGCCTAAATTAAACAGGTCCAAGTACCAGAATGTTACTCCAATCAAGTCAGGATCAAAAAGAAAAGCATCTGGTTAATTTATGCATACTATTTACATGCGTGACTGTGTGCTGTCAGTGACACAGGCACCATCAGGTATGAAGGCCTTCAGCTTCATGCTCTTGCTTGCGTATCTGCAGACCCATAGTTGCCTTAATGTTATAAATGAATTATATACTCTTTTGTGATGTTGGCTCCTTATATTTTATATGGATGGTCTGTGTGTCCTTGAAAGGATTTACCTTTGGAAGTCTGTCTCATTAGTCCTTTTTGGTTCTTTCGGAAATTCTGCCAAAAGTATTTATTCTTCTTTTTCCAGTCTGCTTTCCCTAAATGGAAAGTGAGAAGGGAGGAAAAGGGAAGGGGAAGGAGAATTTTAGAAAGAAACTTCGGTTAATAAACACTAAAGAATTTTTCAAACATTCCGTTTTACTTTCTTAATCAAAAATAAGAATAAATAATCCACAAATTTTCTTTTTTCTTTGTATTCTGTACCAGAACTATGCTGATGCGGTTGTCCCAAAGAAATGCACATTCCTTGATAAGTGCCAAAGCTATAGAGGACTGAGATAAGCCAGTAACTTACATGTTTTGAACTATGAAAATACTTTACATTCATTTTGATATTTGCTATTAATGTCAAGCCTGTAAGTGCTTTTGAAATGTTCTGTCAGTTTATTCCCTTTAGCTGAGCCACAATTTTGTAGCTTAACTACAAGTCAGATAAGGAATTTTCCAATGTGTATGTGCGTATCTATAGAGAAAACAAGTACTTTATATGCATATATATGTGCGTGTATTTATCTATCTCTGTAAACATATAGAACTCACCCACGCACACACACATTTTCTTACTTGACATGAGAATTTTAAGAGACCATTAACTGTATCTGTGAATCCTGCACTTTATGAGTCAGTACTATACAAGGCTGGGTCTCCATTTCCATTAATATCACACCCGTATATTGCTTGAGGACCCAGAAATGTTTGTTTTATAAAAGAAATAGGATCTGCATCAAGGGAGAACATACAATTATGTTCTACTGCAGCATCCAGGGTGCATGCTATAAAGTTATTGCCATCTGCAGGAGAATATAGTGTGCCTTATCTGTCAGAAAGGCAGCCCATTCACAGCCCCACTCTACTTCTAAAGAATTCAGTTGAACAGAGTTTATACTGGACCGCAGCACTTCTGCATTTAACTATAGCATTTTGGATTTTGGCCTAGGAGCACTAAAACTGTATTTACTGAATCTAAAATATAGCTCCGAATTGTGTCTGTGATGTCTCAAGAAAAATTAGTAGAAAACAGTTTCTCTTGCACTCTCCCAAGATCAAAATAAATTTAAAAAATCCAGAATTTTATCAGTTTAACCAATGAGTTAGGATCACAATATGAACTAATGATAGTAAGTCAAAAAGAAAAAGAAATACAGTGGAAAACAAATACATACTTAAGAATGCAAAGTATTTCAAAAACAAAGAGAGAGACTTGGCTGTGATATTAACAAAAATAATAATAATAAAAAAATTAACCACCATCGGTGATAACTTTCAAAATGTAAATGAATAGGCCAGCAATGATTTAGCGTTTGGATATCTGAAATTCAGTAGAACAAGTCAAAAGTTGCATGCTTGTGCACGACAGTTCTAGTTGGGCAGTTTCTCACTGACAGCCCCAACACGGCATTTTTAAAGCTGTTTAGATTGACCCTCCCCACACCTCCAAGTGCTGCTGACTTCTGCTGGCATTATGTTTACTCAGCTCTTCACATCCTAGCACAGGCAAAACTGAAAAGCTGTTTAAGAATTCAATAGAAGCATCAAATAAAATGAAATATACTGACCTACGGAGCCTTCTTCAGAACTTGATTTATGAACAGAGAGCCTGAAACACAAAAGAGAAATGGACTCACTGATGCAGACTTCTCAAATTTCCTGGGAGCTGTCTGATTACAGCAAATTATAGTTTCCAAACAATATATCATGAGCTGATTTCTCTTCCCTTTTCTTCCCAACACAGCCAGTTGGAAACAGCAACCAAATCCACTGGTCTGACCACATTAACTGAATTCCCCCTGAAAGCTCTGAAACAAGCTCCTTGTGACCATCATAGAAATATATGTACTGATGGAAGCTATGGTTAAGCCAGAGGAGTCCAGGAATCCCTCAGAAAAACGCTTTTTCACATACTTCTCTTTCCATTTGTAAAATAAAAACAGTATTTCGGCTAGAAACTGTGGCACTGGGATGCTGCTATTTGTTTACTTGCATAACATCTTTATTTCTCTTTCACCTGAAAATGCTTTGTAAGTATTCATTCACAAAATAAAACTTTCAGAAAGCTGCTGTGAGGAGGACAGGAGGATAGATTTAAAGCCAAGGTGAAAAAAAAAAAAATGCGTCCAGACCCTATGAAGCATGTCCATGGGCTACAGGTTCTTTCTCCCTATTCCCATCCCCGTGTTCCCCACAAGTTTTTACTCAAAAGCTATTCAGAGAGGCCTAGTCTAACAGAACATGGACTTTACAAAAAACCCACCAAAATAGCAAGCAATTTTTTTTTCTCCCCCTCAGTCTTTAAGCTCATTGAACCAGTTTTCAGAAACGGATTTCTACTCCGTGCCAAAGGCTCACTGTGGGATCTCGGCTGGGCCAACACTACCCCACTTGGCCGCCTGCTTTCCCTCCGCATAAGCAGAGCTAACAGAAACTCCCAAATCTTGAGACGCGCCTTGAGGCCTCCCCACGGGACTCGTGTGCAACCCGCCAGGCCCGGCGGGCGCCATGACCCCGCCTGGGCGCGGGTCCGCGCGCGGCTCCGAGGGCGCGAGGCCGTTGTGCCCGCGACACCACAAGGGCAACCGCCCCAGGAGAGCTCGCGCCAGGCCCGTCTCCGAGCGGGGTCACGTATGCGACACGCACGTGGCGTGCGCAGGCCGCTCTCGGTAGCTTTTGCTCAGGCATTTTCCCAGACTCCCAGAAGAGGGCACTGAAGAGTTTTTGACAAATTCACTTAAGCCTCTCGAAGGAAAATTTTAGTTTCAATAGGCTCAGATTTTAAAGGATGTCAGCAGTTATTGGCCAACGTTTGGCAACCATGAGAAACACACTCATCAATTTACAAAATCATCCTTAAAGAGGAAATGAGACAGTATGAAGTTTTGGTTGGATTCAGCAATTCACCGAGGCACGCAGGGCTTGGCACACCTAAGCTGCGAAATGCCTTCACTTCACTGCCTCCAGCTTCACTCTGATTAGAAATTTAATCTAGCACAAGATTTACACCAACTGAAGCAACGAAATGTCAGATTTGCACTGCATCAGATGAAAGCAGACACTTGCTAATTTCCTTGCTGCCGAAGTTTATCCTTGGAGGGGAAAAGTTAATAATACAGCACTTGCAGCCAAGTGCTTAATTTTCAGAAGCCTGAATAACAAACACGGGTGGAAAAAAAACTAATACTTTTGGGGTAAAATCCCTGGAAAATTTAGTATCAGAATTAACATGGACCTTCAACAGGATCGTCTCGTTATTCATAGGTAAATCTGTCAATGTACTCTAAATGAAGGGACACCAGATAAAAAGTAGGTGGACATTTATATGGAGACAACAAAGCAAAATGAAAGCCAAGTTTCAGCTGAACTAAAAAAAAAAAAGATCCTATTCACATACTGCATCTGGGCATAGCCCTCACCCATCAAGCTAACACAGTTATTCCACCTCTCTTTCTTACATAAACTCCGCATCCATTAAATCCACCAAATGACCATTCTCAGAAACGAAATCTATTAATCACCAGAACTTTGCTTCACCAGTGAAGTCAGCCTCAACCAGAAGGAGCCCGTCCCCTAGGCTGTTCAATCTCCAAATCCATTTTTATCACCGTGGTCTCCTCTGCAGCTGCCAGCAGTGATGCGAACACATAGCAGGTGTAGTGGCAATGTTTGTCATTTGGCATCTGCTCACTGGGAACTGGCCTGAGGCCACCAGCTCATCCCACACTGGTTACCAAAGAAGGAGAATGGCACTAGGAGCTTCTGATGTTCCTGAATGAAACACAGTAAGGAGAAGAGAAGCATCCACAGCAAGCAGACTGCCTTCTTATTTATAACTATTTGAAAATTAAAGGGTTTTTTTTCACCAGAGGATGCAAATTCCAATTATCCTGTCATGCATTCTCTAAAGGGGAAATCTTCCATGTCTGGGCTGACCTTGAAAACGCTAACAGCTGGTCTTAAAAGATGGAAATGCTGACAAAACCTACCACATGCAGCCTGATAAGGCATTTGCTTCTTAGTTCTACCAGACAACTCCGACGCTTTAAAATCCTCAGTGAAATCCATCAAGCGTTTTACTTCCTAGATGTCTGCCGAAAAATTCCATGGTAACTCGGAGTCGCTTTATGTCAGATTTGCCAATTACACTCCCTCACTGTGCTAAATCTGCAGCTCCTCTGCGAACGTGCACTGCAAGTGATTTGTGCTCTTCCATTCATAGACTGATAACTTATACTGAAAGTTAATGATGCAGTGACACTTGGCAGAAGCTGCAGCCCGGCGCGTCTGAAAGGGAGCCAAATGCCATTACTCCACCGTGGAGGCCTTCGTTTTTGTTGTGGTCTGATGTACAACTTCATTAGCAAGCCTTCACATGAAATGTGCTCTGTCACAGCATATAGCAGACAAAAATCTATGGGTATATACTCAGACAAGAAGGGCGAAAAAAGATTTATGGCCAGAGGGAAGGGAAGGGGTATTTTTATTAAGTCAATGCAGAATCTAAAAGTGAGTTTATGAATAGGTCAAAACTTTAATCCATTAATTTCACAGACTCAAACCCAGCTTTAGGCCTGTACTTAAGTCCTCTTGTGGCAACAGTGCTGATGAATCTAAATATGTGTGTGTATACATATATATATATATAAATAAATAAATATATACATATATAAAGTGGTAAGTAGATAATACCTAACATGGAGCTACTTTGGGAAATAACAGAAAATATTTCTACATGGGTGCCTTAGAGAGCTTAGACATATGATAGGTTTCAGTGGAGTTCAATATATGATATTAGAATATGCAATGACACAAAATTATGTACATCTTTCTGAAACTCGAATTTTGCCAGTTGCAAATGACAGAGTACCTGGGGATACCAGTTGATAAAAATGACTGAAAAAAAATCCACTCCTAAAAGGCAGAAGGATGAGGAATTCCAATGGCAGCATGAAGGATAAATATACACAAATATTCTGTACAATTGTAAATACTCATTTTCGAGAAAGATGAATTTAAACCAGAAGCATAAAAGCTGGTAGAAGAATCAGATCAATGGACAGGTTATCTTAAGAGAGAAGGCTGGAAATTTTTTGCCTGATCAGCTTGCCAAACTAAAAGCTGCAAGATGGTTAATTTACTTCCTATAAATATAACATAGGAACAAGCAGATATAAACTGGAAATAAATTAGAAAAACTAAAATTTCCTATTTGGACAACTTTCCACCAATAGGAAGCTTATGTGAGAGAAGCAGTAACAGGCCTAACTGCTTTTAAGAGGGTCCTTGAAAGATATGGAAGAGATCAGTGCTTTGATAACCAAGAGCTGGATATGAGGGCTGCCCTCTGAGGCCACTTCAAACGTGTCTTAGCAGCCTGTACGTTCCGCCACCTTTATATGCAAAAGCCAGGCAAGCAAAATGGTCTTTGAACCTGTCTGAAATGACCTTCATATACCCAACCATTCCCTTCTTTTGTAAGTTACTTACTGAATTCTGGAGATGATCTCCAGGAATCAGAATGACACACATTTGTGACACAGGCCCGCTGAGACCGTATCTGACTATAAGCAAGGCTTTTAGTTAGGCTGCATTAAACTTCTGGACTAGAGCTTTACCTGTTAACTCTGGACCGATTTTGATCTCAGAGATAAAAATGCCAGGGCTTATCTTGCATACACAGCAGCTGATTTTACAGGACACACAGTCATACTTGCCTTGAGATGTGAAATAACTGTGTGCTGGTACATTACAGAACTGGAAAAGGAAACAAATGACACCATGTGCTGCTTTTATGAATGCGACCGTTGACTTTCCAAAGCTCATCATTCTCAAAAGAAAACAAACACAAGAGCTGAGAATGACAGGATTTTTGATGGGTTTTTGTTTTACCACTAAATATTTAAATGTGGATGTGCTTTACCACCCAGCCGCATCTCATTTACGCACCATAAAATCCACAGGTGCATAACACTATCTGATAATGAAACCACCACTGTTATGATCTTCAATAAACTGATACGAGCCCTCTTATTTCTTCCCAATGACTACTTAAAATCCATTGAGGATAATTCCTGGGATGGGATTTTCAATCTACAAATACTATTCGCGTTGATAGCGGTAAATAAACCCATACAAAAGCCTGCAGCAGCTCTGCTGCAAAGCCATTCCGTTATCTGCGTGCACTAGAAATGGCCCAGTCACGTAATTAGTATGACAAACTGACAGACCTATAACTGCTCCTGCCTGAACACGAGATAATTTATCTAACCGGAGCCAGCGTAGGGAAGAGAACGGGCATTCAGTGTTTATATCCAATTTGCATGAACGTGAAGAGAAAGCCGGCCTGCGAGGCTCTGACCTCGCTGGCACCCATGTGAGAAAGAGAGGGGAAGCCAAGAGGGTTCATTCAATTATCTTCTCATTAGGTTTCCATAGCAATGGCTCTTGAAGCAGGTCAAAACTTTCTCAGTGCAGGGAAGCAAACGCTGAGGCGCTTGTGGCCTCGGGACGCCCCTATGCGCTTTGCGCCCGACCGCAGCCCGCATGGAGCGACCGCACGGGCTCGGCCTGGTCACCGGCGGCAAGCGAAGGGGGCTGCGCCGGGGG